CTAAGATATACGAACGTCGCGGTAAAAGCTTCGCGAATCGACAAACGTAAATTACGATACGCAATAATTTCGACCAAGAGGACAAGCGGTTCGCCAGAGCAATAATTGGAGAAACCTCGCTCGAAACGCTCGCCACTAGAGCGTGTCTCCTCTCTTCCGGCGGTTGTGACACTGACGAAGGTTCGAAATCGGTTATTGGCCATTGTGAGGGATCCAAGTGAACCCAAGAAGGTCCATGGAACCAAAGCGGGTGGTCCATTATTTGCATCGGGGTGAGTCCCCGGGATAGACAATCGGCAGGGTTTTCCTTACCGGACACGTGATAAAAGTTCCGCGTTTCTAACTCGTCTTGGATCTTGGCCACTCGGTTCGCGACAAACGTATCCCAACGGTGGGGTGAAGAATGAACCCAACATAAGGCGACGGTGGAGTCGGAAAAGGCAAATATTCTTTCTATGTGAACTCTATCCCTACATGCGCCGATAACTGTGGTAATAAGCTTGGTGAGTACTAATATTGCGCAAAGCTCTAAGCGCGCCAGAGAGACAACCTTACGGGGGGAGACTCTCGACTTAGAACTAATGAGGCTAATCGAATTTCTACCATTATTCTGGACATGGAAATATACAACGCCCCCGTAAGCCCTCTCGCTGGCGTCTGCAAATCTAACGACCGTTATGCTGCTATTTCTATCGACATTTATATGACGCGGTATTTTAATTTCTCTTAGTAAAGGAAGTTCCTCTCTAAAACGCTGCCACAATCGAACAATGCTGTCAGGCGGCGAGTCATCCCAATCACATTCAAATAACCAAAGTTGTTTAATCAAAAGCTTAGCGTACAATACCACAGGAGCTACGAAACCCATGACGTCCCATAATCTAGCAACGCATGACAGTATTGTGCGCTTTGTGCATTTCTCTACGGGCGGATTTACCTTAAGGCTAAACACGTCGGACTCTGGTGACCAACACAGACCGAGCACCTTGTGTGTATCGGAATCGTCGAATTCCTTTATCGCCGAAAGACGGTGTGATAGTGGGATTGTATCTAAAACCGTACGCGAATTACTAGTCCACTTCACAAGATCGAATTGACCCGATTTCATGAGCCTTATGACTTCGGCGGTGGTTAGGGTGGCCTCCTCCACGCTATCGACCGAATACACAAAATCATCCATATATAATCCGCTCTCAATTGCCCTCTTAGCTTTAGGATAAGAGGGACCTTCATCGTGAGCGAGCTGTCTCACCGTGCGTAACGCATGAAATGGGCTCGACTTTAAACCAAAACAAACGCGGTTAAATTCAAACACCATTAGAGGTTCCTTTGGGTTGAAGCGATATAAAATGCGTTGGAATCTACGGTCGCATTCACGGACCCCTATGCAAAGAAACATTTGGCGAATATCGGCGGATAGTGCTATACTAAACAAACGAAAATTGACTATTATATTAAATAAACTGCCCTGTAAATTTTGCCCACTATAGAGGATATCGTTAAGCGACAGGTGAGTGCTAGTTTTAGCACTAGCGTCGAGCACTACACGTAATTTAGATGTAAGTTTGTCCTCTCTAATGACTCCGTGGTGTGGTATAAAATACGACGGTGTGTCTTCGTAGTTATCTAATTTCGAAGCCACAAGCGATATGTAACCTTCTCTTATATATTCGTTAATGACGCCGTCGTAAGCTTCCTTTAACTGGGGCGAAGCGAGCATCCTACGCTCCAAGCTGTAGAAACGCTTTTCCGCCATTTGACGCGAATCGCCGAGAGATAAAACATCTCCTTTAAAGGGTAGCGCTACACTATATCTACCGTCGCGATCACGAACGGTCGTGCGGACGTAAATTTCCTCGCATAACCTGTCATCTGGACTAGCTATAGGTGGGACGTTCACCTCCTCCATCTCCCAAAATTTGCGGACTAACGACTCGAGCGGTTCGACAGCCATACCACAATAAGAGGTTGCCGAAATACTATCTAGGATGGGGGCGGAGCCAAGGATCACATAGCCCAATACGGTTTCCAGTGCGTAAGGCGCGGTATGCGAGGAGTTGCCCCTGACCTTATTGTTTAACAAAAGATAAGGGAAAAGCGATGCCCCAATGAGCATGTCTATGTTTCCAGGAACGGCGTAAGTGTCGTCTGCTAGAGGCAAATTTTTAAATTCAATCATTGCCGAGGTGTCAACCGAAACGGTTGGCAACCGTTCAGTGACCCTATCTACTACTAGTGCATTTATATCAAAGTTAACATTACGATCTATCCGAGAATAAAATTTTAAATTTATATATCCCTGTGTCGCTTTACTAGTACCTCCGATGCCTTTAACTACAGGACATGAAAGTGACCTATTTATTACTAAACCTAAGCGCTGACAACATTGTCGTGTTATAAAGCTATTTTGGGCTCCGCTGTCCAGCAGTGCACGGACGCTTTGTTCGTTTCCACGCGAATCCCTAACCAAAATACGCGCCGTACCCAGTAACACGGTCGAAGGAGGTTGTACTCCCATATTTGCCAGAGCACAGAGCGACATCACCAGGTCGACCGCTAGAATCGTTGACCTTAGTAGGGGTGAATTCCTTATCCGCCTTACTTGACGCCGCTATGTTGCTATTTTCAAAATGTAATAGCGTGTGATGTTTCCTGGCGCACTTGCTACATACGGAACTCGAATTGCATTTTGCAACTAAATGCTTATCGCTTAAGCAGTTCAAACATAGGTTGTTTGTCTTTACTAACTTATAACGTTCGCTTGGTGAATATTTACGAAAAGTCGCACAATTATATAAATTACCGTGTTTATCTTTACATACTATACAAGTATGCTGGAGTGATGTCGGCGTAGCGGTTACGTAAGTTAACGACCCTGCTATTTTAGATGGTTGAGTCTGTCTACGGTCGACGCACCTTTTAATCTCCTGTTTAACGTTCGGAGAGCGCTGCATCACCTTTATTTGATCTCGCACGAACGATGCTAATGAATGAAAGGAAGGCATCTCCGAGCTACGATGCTCCATTTCAAACGCACGCACGGTGTCGGAGTCTAATTTCTTTAATGCTATATGGAGAAACACCACGTCCATAAGGTCATCAAACTTCAAATTCTTAAGTGCAGCCACCGATGCCACAAATTTATCTAGAAACTGCTCTAAGCCGTTGATGTTCGCGGATGATATAGGTTTAAGATCGAATATCTGGTTCAAATATTCGGAAGCTAACATTCTCCTATCTTCATATTTAGTTTTAAGCGTTTCAAATATTAATACGTAATTGTTTGCTGTAGGTGTAAAACCCGAGCAGATCGACTGTGCTCTGCCACTAAGTTTGCTAATTAAGTAATATAATTTTTCAGCGTCCGATAACGATGGGTTGTTGTGTATATTGTTTTGAAAACTACTGAAGAAGAAGGGCCACGTCTTAATATCACCATTGAATACCGGAATATCTATTGGCGGTAACCTAATTGAGTCACGAGGGCGTACCTGTATTTCCGGCTTTGCTTCGCTTTGAGATTGTAGGAGTTTTGCAGTTCTTTTTACGCGACACAACATATCTTCGAATGCCAGCAGCGGTTGGTAGTTCACTATGTATTTCGGGTCGCTTTGTAATTCCAAATGATTAATTTGGTCTAATATTCTTTCGTAATCTATCCGCAAAGTATCTATCGTTTCGATTTCATTCAAAAAGGCTTCCCGCACTGCCTCTATATTAATGTTCTTTATATAATTACTTATATTCTGCACACGCGAAAAGAGTATGTCCCTCTTGGCATAAAGCGTTTTAATTTTGATTTCACTTCCACTAACTGCCATTTTAAATTATTATAATAAAGTTATATTAATCACAATTAATCTCACACGCATAAACGACGTAGGATGAACACTCGGCGTGCCGTATTACGTAATCAGATCGAACACCCGTTGCGGTCGAGTCTACGCGTCGTTTGCTAAACCTAATAATTTTATCAAAATTGTGGGTAAGCGTATCAAACGGTTGCTATCACACCGTTTCAATTGTTTAATAAGCTTTAAATTTAACCAAATACGAGCGCTATTAAATGAATAATTCTGTTTGCGAGTACCAAATCAAATTTTTAATTTAAACGAACACTATTTAAGTCTATTCCATAAATTACAGTGCGTTATCTAAACAATTAATTTAAAATTCGACCAGAAAATGGTTGGATAACCACTAAACACCAATCCAGATCCTGCCGAAGTGACCATAAAATGGTGGAGCCACGTGTTTAAGGCTGCCGAAAATCTAGTTCCCCGGTCAAACCTCAATCAAACCTATTACGCGAGATATTAAGTAAAGTGGACTGTATTTGCGATTGCTTCTATGCTTATGTAAAAGCGACTACTATAGCATGCGGTACAATGCACTCGCTCTTCCCTAAACTAAAACTATTACTTGCCAAATCGATGAAAGGAATCCTGCCTGATGGGGAGAACACAGAATTGGAGCGGTTAAACAATTATTAAATATTAATCAGGCAGTAAATTAAGGAATGTTGACTCACCGGGGTTCTTCTATCCTTTAGAGCACTATAGCGGCGATTTCCGGAACCTCTTCTGGACAGACACTCTTGGGCCCCAGGGGTGCGTCAGGAGAGAAGCGTTGTAGTTCAACGACGGCTGCGGCGGGAAGAAGCGAGCGCGCGTCGGTCGCGCGTGTCTTATATATCCTCGGGTCCGATGATTACGCGATGTTCTAGAATCGTCTTCTTTCCCCTCCCACCCCATCACCCCGATGTGTCGATAGGAGGGTACGAATGATATCGTTTGGGAAAGGGAATAATGATTCGGCAAGTTCCTACCGTCAAAAATAAAAACGCGAATGGTTTTCCGCGCAACCAGAACTGAAGAATTTAGTATTTTTATTATGTTGCAAGTGTAAATATTTTAATTATTATAATGCAAGTATAAAATTTCAATCTTACACTGCCACTACACAACAAACTTAAAAATGGTAAAAATGTTTTGTTACAGATAATTGACCCCCAACGGCAACTGACCTCTGAGGAGCTGGCACAGGCGTGTAAGCTCATCTCCAGCGGGGGAGAAGTTATTGTTAAAGAACTGGTGCCGATAGTTAAGTGAGTGTTTATTTTATTAATTTATTTAATTCAAAAACTCTTGTGCTTGTATACGTGGTTATATTAGTAGTTAGTTTTTAGATATTTTTGCATGTAAAATTTTACCTTGTGTGCGTTTTTTTTATAGGATAGGGTGACAAATGAGCACACAGTCCACCTGATGGTAAGTGGTTGCTGTGGCCCATAGATATCTACATCTATTCTCGATTAAAAATCAAAATGCAGATGCGTTGTTACCCGTGAGATCCAAATCATTAAAAAGTCTCAAATCAAAAAAAAAATCTCAGTAAAAAGGGTCTCCGGTTCTCTACACTTACCATACGAAACACAGTAGCATTAAGCTACTATTTTACGCTGGTATTCTGTGAGAGCGTGGTCCTTCCCCGGTCGAGCCGACCCATTCGTGCTACAACTATACTACCATATATACATATAACTGCAGCATGGCTCTACCACGTACACACAGTCACAACGACGGACAATTTTTTTTTCATTAAATATAAGTTATAAATAATGGTCTAATTATAAATAAATATCTCAGTCCGAGGAAGAACAAGTAAGAAACCCAGCGGAACTTTAAAAAAAAATACAATTACAGTAGGCGCTCGATAATCCGGCACCTGATTTTTTCCCTTTATGCCGGATTGTCGGAACTGCCGGATTATCAAATTTGTATAGGAAGTAAAATAGATCCACAGTAAAATACTATTTTAATATGGTTAGGTGAATTTATTATAAAAATAAAATTACGTACTTAATGTGTATATGTTAAGTACGAACTGCCGAGCGAGAGAAAAGAGAAACTACTCGAACAATTCAACCCAACCGCTCAGTAGTCCGGCGTTCAGCTGTGTAAAATGCCGGATTATAGAGCGGGCTACCTGAGTCCCAAAGTGCCGGACTACTGAGCGCGCCGGATTGGCGAGCGCCGGATTATCGAGCGCCTACTGTATGTACAAAATGTTACAAAAGTGACTACAAACCATATTAGAAATAGCTTAGTAGCGAGCACTTCTTTCCAAGGGGTTATTATCATCCATAAATTTCTTTTATAATAAAACTTTTTATACAATCTGTATTTAAATAAAGTTTTAGAATGGACGAATTTTGTATCTGTAGTCTTATTTATTAGAAATCGATTTATAAAAAAGCACCATCATTACATCTCTTTTTCACAGGTCCACTACTGAGCAAAGACCCCCCCTCTTGGAATGCCACAAAACCACGGTCCTGGGCCACCTGCGTCCATGATTTCCTGCATGTCTTACCAGGTCGTCATTCCATCTAATGAAGGGTCACCCTACAGTTCGCCTACCGGCACGAGGCTGCAACTCAAGAACCTTTCTTCCCCGTCGGTTGTTCGAACTATATAGTTATTATGGCCTATGTATCAGCCAGGAATTCACTGGTTCACACACGCACACGTAAACTCACGTCTCACTACACGTCCGCTCTCGCCCGCGGCTCTCGTGATACTGACGCCCGCGGGGCGGGGAGTCGAATTAAACCCCTTGTGGGTGCACTCGAAACAGTGGACATTTATACTTGTGTCTTAACAGGCATTATTTATGATACTACCTTCATTCCGATCCATGAACCTTATTTTATTACATACTTATTAGCATTTTATAATCACATACACTACAGCCTACTACCACTTCAGGTTACTAATCCGTTCCGACTATAAAAAATATGTAAAAAACATATTTACATTTACATCTACTTATCTTACTCATTTCTTGTCTTTTCAGGGAGGATTTAGCTCTTCTGAAGAAAGGTGAGGAGTGCAAAACTAAAACTTACCACGCGCTGTGCATCAAACTCTCGCATTCGGAATTCAACGAGGTACTTCTTTTAGTTTAAAATATTTATTTCACTACATAGTTTCATTTTCTCACTTAGTTATACCAGTTGAATATTTTACAGTACTAATTGAATATAGCCTCGCGAATGAACCAATGTTGAAGCCCGGAGCAAAAATCGTTCTGTAGTTAAGAATAAAAACGTAGACCACCGTTTTAAATGAGGTATAAAGGTTGCGTCTAAAGCCTTGGTATTAATTGATATATTTATTTATTATATGGCATTGTATTATTATGATACATAAATAAAATGGATGATACGGGTAGGTGTAGAATTATTATCGATATATTTTAGTACACTTATCTTTATTGTTAGTTCCATAGACGCTCACTTCTGATGTCAGCGCCAAAATGGCGAAATTCAAATCGCCTAATAATGTCGCGGTCAATCGCAGTCATTTAACATGAATAGAGTAGTAATGTGAGCCATCCAATTCCGAAACTGATCAGTGATTTGTCACTGATAAATGGCAATTCACGCTCGCCCTAAAACAGTACCTCACCAACAAGTGATCTGTGTGTACGTCCCCTGATACTCCCGAAAATATTCAGTTTGGTATATTAAACCCCATAATGTCGTGTTGTTCTATTCGGTGTTGTGGAAAAAACAGCAAGACATCGAATTATAAAACATACAGAATCACGTTTCATCGGTAAGTATCAATAAACTTTGATTTTGTTTCAATTTACATCCATATAATACGGCTCAAGTTAAACTGGCCATTTAGTATGAATCACTTGGACGCTTGTCTATGCGTCTTGCTCTTACCTAGGTGTAACCAATATAAGCCATCTCATTTTATTTATTACGTGTTTACTAGTGCTTGAATCGGCCAATCAGAGCGCAGCGACCGGCGCACGTTTTGGCGGAATTTGTTTTCTTACAAAACAAATAACAATACCGCTCTATTTTAGGTTAAATGCTCGATGGTCGCGGTGAATAGCCAGTTCATATACATATAGAGTTCTATCATGTATGTGTGAACAGGATATCTTTCAAAAAACTGAACTTATCACTTTGATTTTTTTTAATTAGTTTTAGATTCCAATCCTTAGGTGGCCTTTAGAATTCCCGTTCATTAATATTTGACAATTTTTTTCTGTAACAAAATACGAATAAGCGGTGTCAAGCACTCAAAAAAATTTCTTGTTAATTAAATACAAACAATTTTTTGTGGCTTTAAATGAAATACTTGTTTCAGAAATTAATAAAAGTAAATTGGTTATACAAAACATTACATGATCGTTCGAGGTGTGCACTTTTGGATTTTCCAAATATATGTTTTGTACACTTGCATACCTCTAAATTTGTCCGTGCGTATATAATCTCACACCAGTCATTTGGACATTGATTATTAGGTCGATCCCGATTCCCCCATTACTGTGACGGACGCCGATCTAGAACGCATCAACTCGTATCGTAACACAAAGGAAGGTGATGAGGCGAAAATTGAGATCACGCAGAAGACTCCAATCCGGGTGTTGCATCGTCGCCCGCTTCTTACAAGAACGCGGCACCTGCTCGAACTACACGCTGAAAAAGTTCCAGGTACATTTACAAGCCGTGAGGTATTTCTGTCTTAGTCCTCCTCAGATCCTCAATCGATGATAGATGTAGATGTCTATGGGCCGCAGCATACACTTACCGTCAGGTGGACTGTGTGCTCGTTTGTCACGCTTATTCTATAAAAAGTCTTCTTTGTTTGAAGTTGGCTGTAGGTATCGTCAGACGTAAAATACACAGGGCGAAGGAAAGCTCAGGTCTGGTAGGAGCCGCAAGCAAAGATTAAGGCAAATCCTGCCTGCTATAGGGGAGGCCCATTCCCAGCAGCGGACTCTTACGAGTTAATAATAATAATTATTAAAAAAATTATAAATATGACTGCGCCAGGCTCTACTGGGACCGAGCCATCATCACAGACAGGACTATTCATATAAGCCTGATTTGTGCTGATGGACCGGGCACACTCAAGGATATTTTTGGTCGACATTACCATTCAGTATGACGAGAACCTCGTGAAAACCGAAAAAGTTAAACGAACAAAATATCTGGACCTGGCTCACGAGGTGACCGACATGTGGGGTGGCCTGTTGGCTGAAATTATTCCTGTAGCCGTCTCTGCGAGTGGGCTAATCCCAGTCAGCCTTTCGGGTCATCTGAGGCGACTGGGACTCCGTGATGGACCGTTCCGGGCTCAAATGCAGAAGGCGGTGCTCCTCGATACCGTCCGCATCGTCCGCCGGTTTCTTTCCCTTTCCCCCCTAACCCTCGGCCGTTTGTTCTCCCCTGCCGAGGGCTTCCATCTGGTTGGATCTTTATTTATTTATGTATTTTTTGTATTTATTTTATTTTATTGATATTTATGTATATTTATCTTTTCATTTATGTTTTGTATCAGTGTTGGCGATTGTAAAGCGTGAAGCAGGTTTTTTTACGTCGTAGAGACATGCTGCAGCTATTTTATGGTTGTAACACAAATGGGTCGGCTCGACCGGGCAAGGACCACGCTGTAACAGAGTACCAGCGTGAAATAGCAGCTTAATACTGCTGTTTCATATAGCGAGTCCAGAGAACTGGAGAGCCTTTTCATAGCATAAAAACCATAGCATAAAAAACTGCGGTTGCCAACCCGCTCGCTCATCTTGGCAACTATGGCAAACGTCCCGACACACAATGACACGACACAAATAAACTAATCCCGGTCCCGGATCCCGGGGCAGGGAGCACACGCACCCTGAGGGCTGACAAGTTGCGATGTGGTATTTTAGGAGGTCCGAAGTTAGGGGAGGACATATTCTTCGAATCTGACTATTTGTTCTATCACCGGGAGAGCTACCATTTGTAACAAGAAGTTGCCGAATTTATCGAGCACAAGTCTTGCGTTAACAACGTTGTTAACATTGGGAGTATGTCGACGAGGCATACGTACCTTATACTCAGAATCACCTACCGGTATTCGTTGAAGGTCATACAGGTTAACGCACCAACCTAGACACATCTAGATGAGGACGTGGAGGAAATGTATAATCTCTAGTACCATGCATTCCTCCAAAACCCACTATACGGTGTTAATGGGAGACTTCAGTGCAAAACTACGTACAAGAGAACACAGAATACGAAATTTATTCAACAGATAAGTGTGACGTAATATTCTCGAAAGTCACAGGTGACATAATATCCTTGAAACTTCACCGGCGCGTTGGCATACGTTTTCAAGCAACTGGACTGGAAAGGATACGGTATTAACAATAGCAGCGACTACATCGCACACCTTCGATTTGCCAACGATATAGTTCCTTTTAACTGATAGATCTTAAAACGAATATGGACATGGAACAAAGATTATGTGTAACGTACATGTTACACCTATGCTTGATAATTGTAGAAAGCACTGAGCTCAAAGTTGTTGACAATTTTGTTCACCTGGGACAAATAGTCCGACAAGGTAAGTCCAACTTTGACCGAGAGTTTATTCAACGGATTCAAGTCGGCTGAGCAGCGTTCGGGAGATTACGACACATTTTCTTTTTGGTACCTGCTTGTGCAACTAATGTGTGTTGTCAATGATGATAGCTGATGGATCTGAGACGTATTCTTGCACTGCTGGGCGTATGAGGAAGCTAAAGGTTTCAGCGAGCTATGGAGAGGGTTATGCTCGGGATTTCTCTGTGGGATAAACTTTTAAGAGATTAGGATATCTGCAGTAGAACCATAGTACCCGACAGAGTTCAACGTATTAGTAAGCTGATATGGCCATGTGCCGGTCATATAGCTCGAAGATCCGAAAACTGATGGGAAAGAAAGTTTTAGAGTTGCAGCTTCGTAGGCGAAGTGTAAGACGACCTCTTAGTAGATGGAGTAACAATCTGATATGAAATGGAGGAAGTCATGGATGCACGTGGATCAGGACCGTGTTTTCTGGTATTTCTTAGGAGATGCCAATGTTTAGCAGTGGCTTTAAGAAGAGTTCTAGGCTCTCCTTAGTTCGCTGAGTGACCTTGAGATTACTTGTACGGCCAGCAGTGAAGGACCACGTTTCAGATTCAAAAGTCTATCACTGACAACTCGCACTGGTTGTACAATCTTGTTTTGAAGTTTTGAGATATGCCTGGCGAGAAGATGTGTCGTAATATCTCGGTTGAAGTTGAATTTACATAGTACGGGTATTTGTCGTAGGTAAACATATTCGTCAACATCTTCGAGCGAGTGCTTCGTGTCCTTTCCAGTACGTATTACATATAGTTGTATGGTGTGCGCAGATCATGCGCAGTTATTTTACGTGCGTGTGCGCACGTCGGCGGGCACGTACGTGAAGGAGTGGGCGCACGGCGAGCTGCGGCGCACGCGACCCGCGCTGCCGAATATATTGCACGCGCGCACGGACCTGCTGGCGCTGGACGTGGCCGCCGTGCACCTGTGCTGGCCGCACGCGCCCGTACATTAATACCTCACTTTCATTTACACTACCACCCACATCAGCCGTGGTAGCTTAGGTCTAAACGCTCACTGTAAATTTCACAGTACGCAAGTAACCCGGTCTTGATTCAAGCCTGCACCAATGAAATGGTTAATTACAATTTTAAGTGTTAATTTACTCGGCGGGTAAGGTAAACATCGTGAGGAATTCAACATGTATATGTATATATACATGGGGAATAAGCAAGAAATTATAATTCCTAGACATATGAAATCCAACAAGCATCGGTTCCGTGTGGCGGACATTCTCTTGCCCTAAAACACACAACTAAGAGAACTTTGCTCAGCTGTGAGACGTATTTCGGCTGTAACCACAATTTTTTTTAATTATTGTTATTAGGAAGTTGTTGCTGTCCATCTGATTTGTTTCACTCTCTCGCCTTTTGCTACACTGGCTGGTAAGGGATAGTGGATAGTCTTACCTCTCCGTTACTGTTTTCTTCTAAACTGATGCTCTTTCGTTATGGACGACACACACGGTTAGTTCAACTGATCATTCCAACTGATCAGTTCAAACTAGGACTGTTGATATATTTTAAAATATCGGATTTTCGCTATATGGATAAATAAACTTATATATAAAACTATTAAATATATAATTATTAATATATCGAAAACCCGATATTTTTTAACAACATTCCTAGTGTGTGTCTTCCTTTACTATAAAAAGTCAACAATATTCTTAGTTTCATTGCATTTTTGTACGGTTAGCAACATATTTATTTGCCGTCTAGCATTTTTAGCAAATGAAAATCGGTCTTTTATTTACATACCATTTATTTACACACCCTGTCCTGACTAGACATTAAATCATTTTTATTATTATTTGCTTGATATTAATGCAATTAATCATTATATACAATGTAAATCTAAAACCTAACGTTCGGACAGTACACGCTACAAAAAAAATAATAATAAGACTATGGTGTATACATACAACACGTGCTAATTGGTGTCCATAATACTGATACAGTTGTTACACTAATTATATTCCTTACAGATTATTGTTAGGGTTAAATCTGTGCACTAAAATAAAATTATCTTGATAAAACAATGTCATTATACAAAATTATGAAATGTTCCAAAATGTATGGTGCCTGGGCCAGTTCATAATAAATAATAAAAAATAGGAAAATACATTTTAAAAGGTTTTCAACTGTCCAATTATTTTATAATTGCTTTGTTTACTGGTAAAACACAGGAAATTACACTTGAAATTGCAACACACAGCAAAAATCCGCAAAAATCCTTTATGGCGGTAAATACATTTTTATTGATTAGTGCATGGAGGTTAGAGAGAAGGAGAACGATCGCTGTAGAGAATAGTGTCCCAGAAATATCGACAAAATAAGTGGGGCGCTGCCATCGTTAAATTGACCTCCATGGATTAGTGAAGTTTGACATGTTTATTTCAAGTATTTTTGACACTGTTGTGACAACTGACAGTTCTCTTTCAATGATCATTGGTCGCTTAATGCTTTACTGTCATTGTCTATAAGCACAGAGTAACTAAATCGGTGAGATGCCATGTTGAAAGTCGATAAAAATAATTGACAAACATCAATTGTTTACCACGACAGGATACATTTAAATGAATTATCTGTATTTTTTCCGAATTTTACAGATTTTGCTCTTTTTTTTTGAGGTATTGTACATAGATCTGGCCCATTTTGTAACATCTGCTTTCATTGTAAAAATATTCGCGAGACGTTCGCAATTCACTCTTACATAGTCAATAAGTAATTTTGTCAAAGATTTCTATACTTCTGGATCGCAGCTCTGGATAGCTGGCACGGTAAATATGCTACGCAGTTGTACTTTCATTTACGACGGTTACTGTTTTTAGACTAATAAGAAATAAAATTACATACTTATCTGAAATAAACTTCAAATCACGTTGACAATGTGCGCATATAAATAACGACAGCGTTCGTTTTCTTAGTCACATTAAACAAAATCGGCGTTAGGTTGTCGTAAACAAGGTTTGCGGTTTACGAAAGGAAGAGGGACTGACTGAGTTATGGTTGAACGTAACTTAGTGCGCAATGTATTAAACCCCCAGAGCCTGTCTTGTAGTATATACATAGAAGTCTTTAGATTTTGTATTATGTAAAATATAAGTAGTATAAGTGTATTATGTGAAATATCTTAATTTTCCATTCTTATTCACAGCGTACTCCATTTAAAATAAACTTAAAACTATGTATAACGATCTCGCAGGACCGAATTTGTATACAAATAAAAATTAAATTAACATGTATTTGTGACCTTCAACATATTTTCTTTATATCTTATTACCAAACTAATAATGTCTTTTGTACGAAAAGGAAACTGTGTCAACGAATTTATTGTAAAATATACAGATTAATCTATTATTGTTAATAGGAACTTATCTAGGTAAGTGATCTATAGATTACAAAATACTTCTACTAAAAAAATTTACAACATAGTGAAGTCTAAATACCTATCCTAGTCCTAGTAGATGACATTTTTTACCGTCTGGAAAAAATAGGGTGTAACATGATGTGAACGGAGTACAAAAATTTTGAACGGTTGAAAAAAAATTTTGAATAATTACTTTGGCCTTTGCCCTTAAGCCTGTGACCCTGCAAAGTGACAAGGTCAAAGATGCCTACTAAATTTATTGTTTTATTGCCGTTCGTAAAGTAGGGTGGATATTATTTGAATTTCCATAGATTTTAATTAATTAATTTATCTAAATCAAAATGTTTGTTTTTATTTTACGTAAAATATCAGTTCCGTAGGCTTCTACTCCGTTCACATGTTACGCCTTATTTTTTCCAGACGGTAAAAAAAGTCATCCAGTATATTATCGAAGAAAAATATTTATAAGATGTTAAGGTTAAGTATTTCACTTCGTGAAATTGCTTTTGGTAAGCTTTGTTTGTTTGTATAAAACTAATGAGGTAAATTATCAAATTTAACATTAAAGTCTTTCCTCTACACAATGTGTTATCATTATATCAAATTATAATTTTAATGTAATACTATAATTTTTATTTTGTTGACATCTTTTCAATGAACTCTTGTAGCGCTAATGCTTTCGCTAGTCTTCGTCGGAAATCCTAGAAGAAAAGAAATAAAAAAATAGTTACCAATTGCCAAGTACAGACACTTTCGCTCGTCTCCACCCTTTTGGAGCATTTTATTTTTATTTTATTCTAATGGCATATGAACCAGTCAACTTATACAATGTCCTTCAGATCGAATTTCGGTCATGGCGGCCAGTCTCTACGGAGACTAGCCAGCCATTGGCGCAGGAAAAGATTATAGTGCCCGAGTGTAATGCGCAAGCACAGGTGCACTCTATTCCCTCACTCTCATATTCCGATGGGACGGTAAACGACACGACCGGAGAGAGATCAGGCGCAGGACCAACGGCTTTACGTGCTTTCCGAGGCACGGGGGTCAGACACCGCCAACTTTCTGACTCCGGGCAGGGACTGAGAATTTCTTGACGGAAAAACTCAATAATAGATTTTTTGGGCCGACCCGGGACTCTAACCCAGGACCTCATGATCAGCAGTCGCACTACTACAACCACTACACCAACGAGGTAGTCAACTAACACAATGACATATTAAATAACAGAAAAGTTTAACAAGTTATGTGTAGTGACTACTAGTGAACACAGCATGCACTCTAAGGTATTTAGAGTAGAGTTTTGTCACTTCTCTATCCATTACAGCCCATAAAAGTCGACTGCTGAACATAAGTCTTTTCCACAGATTGTCTCATAGCTAGTTAGATAGTTGGCACGCTTGGCAGGCGGGTTGGCAATCGCAGTTTTTTTATTATTTTCAGATGTTATTCAAAAGATGCCTATCTCGTTTTAGTTTCTCTATCATACTACATCCACGAGACGATATGCGTTGTGGATATTCTTACACCGACACTACACGGTTTGTCTTTAAAAAACAGTACCCACTGACAGTGTCATAGGTGTGTCTGTGTTCGTCTGAGTGAATGTGAACGTGTGCGTGCGTGGGTGCGTGCGTGTTCGTGTGCGTGGGTGTGTGCGTGTTATGTGTCTATATATGGATAGGTACTAACCTGATGCAGCTGGTGGCCCGCCCTGGGCACGCGGCTGGCGAACATGTCGCGCGACATGAGGCACAACGCCTTGCCGTTCATGGGGAAGCGCTCGGGCAGCCCTCCGCGCCGCGACACCCACGCGCCCACCTCCGCGCGCCCCCACGTGCGAGGGTCTAGGCAAAAACACGCAATTGGTACTAAGACTTCACTTCAGGTTTTAACTAAATATAAAATTCAACATTAATTTGAGGGATAAGAATTATTTCTATATTGTGGTTATACCACAACTTTCCCAGTTGGGGCACAACCGAGAAAGTGCCATACTCTCGCAGAATACCAGCATAAAATAGCAGCTTCATCTCAATCTTTAATATTAGGTGTGTATTAGAAAGGCTGATTGGAATTGAGACAAACCAGCACACAGTCTACCTGATGGTGTCTGGATACTGTTACTATTGACATTTACATCTATTATTGATTAAGAATCAAAATGCAGAATGCATTTACTTATTAGATAAAATGCCTCGTTTCCAAAAAGAGGGTATACGAATATTAAAACTCTACAGGTATTTCCCCGATTGAGCCGACCGACTTAAGCTTCAGCATGGCTCTACCACGAATAAAAATCTAATTTTTTGTATAAATGAAACTAGAGACGTAAAAATAAATTTATGCAATTGAAATTAGACAATTAGTTTCAGAGATAGCAATAAAACATTACAAAGATATTGCGTAACATTAATTGATATAAAATAACAATCAAATCACAGAACAAATAACAGTACTATACGTAGTGAAATTAAGGACCTGATACTTTCAAGTTTGCTAAAACAACCAATATTAGTATTAAAAAATAATCATGTTATTACAAAACTCACAACATCTGTAGGAAAATAAAAGAAAATATCCCTC